ACACACACACACACACACACACACACACACACACACACACACACACAGAGATGCACACACAAAAATAAGACAATCTAGAAATAACCAATATCCATGACAAATGACAACCCAGTGAACATGATCTCATAGAAATTAAAGGGACCACAAAGGAATATTATGAACAATTCCAGGCCCACATATTTAATAACTTTATTATAATCAACCAATCCTCAGAACGAAACAATATACTAAAACTGAGATTAGTACAGGTACTACTGACAGGATGAAGAAAGGCTCAGGCAGCCTGAGCGGTAAGAGGCCCCTGTTGGCTAGTCTTCCTACCAAAGATCCAACCAATAAGACTAAAATCTTACATCTTACCATGAAATAGAATTGTCGTAATTTTAGAGGCAAGATTTCATTATGCAATCCAAGCATTCCTAGGACTTACTATGTAGCCCAGGCTGGCCTTAAACCACCATCTCATCCTTCTGAATGCTGGGACTATTGGCATGTTCTGTAAGGCCTGACAAGGATAACAAATTCTCACCTGCTTGACTAAAACAGAATCTCTATAGAGGAAATCCACTCAGGAAAGCAGCCGGTGTCACTACCAGTTTACAGGGGAGCCCATATTCTGAAGGCTAAGATGCATTTCTTGTCTGCCCGCAGTGGTACCTGGAATCCCATGGAAAGGGTCATGAGAGTAAGCCAGCGGACTGGTGCTATCAGAGATGAACCTGAGGCCGGCGAGAGGGCTCAGCAGGTAAAGCTGCTTGCCACTGTCACCCCTCCCCCTCCAACAAATTACAGGTGGATGTGGATAGAGAGATAGCTCAGCAGTTAAGAGCACTTGTTTTTTTAGGTAACCTGGGTTCGGTTACCAGGACCCATGTGGTGGCTCAAAACTACCTGTACCTCCAACTCCAGGGGCTCCATTGACCTCTGTGGGAATCAGGCATGCATACAGACCAAACACAGAAAACAGAGATAAGTCTTAAAGAAAGAGAAAAGAAGGAAAGAAGGAAAGAAGGAAGGAAGGAAAGAAGGAAGGAAGGAAGGAAGGAAGGAAGGAAGGAAGGAAGGAAGGAAGGATATGGGGTAGGGGGAAGACGGGCTGGAGAGACGCTCAGCAGTTAGCATTCAGACTGCTCTTGAAAAGGACCTAGGTTTCTGGCACCCACATGGCAGCTCACAACTAACTGTAAGTGCAATTCCAGGGGACCCAATGTGCTATTCTGGCCTTGGGAGACATCATGTATGTACATGATGCTCATACATATATGCAGGCAAACATTCACACACATAAGAAGAAAGGGGCTAGAGAGACGGCTCAGCCGTTGAGAGCACTCTTGTAGAGGACCCGGCCCCGCACGCACCCAGGTCTCCCCATCGCTGTAACTGTAGTTCTAAGGGCTCCTACACCATTTCCAGACTCTGTGGGCACTGCATGTAACCATGTGTACATTCCCCCACATATACATGTCATTAAAATTTTTCAGGGGAAGGCTGGAGAGATGGCTCAGCAGTTAAGAGCACTGACTGCTCTTCCAGAGGTCCTGAGTTCAATTCCCGGCAACCACATGGTGGTTTACAACCATCTTGTAATAGGATCTGAGGTCCTCTTCTGGTGTGTCTGAAGAGATCAACAATGTACTCACATATATGAAATAAATAAATCTTTAAAAAATATTTTCAGGGC